CACAAGTCTAACTGACACCCGATGTAAAGGGACCTTTCTCCACTGAACACCAATGTAAGGGGGCGATTTCCCACTGACACCCGATGTAAAGGGACTTTTCTCCACTGAACACCAATGTAAGGGGGCGATTTCCCACTGACACCCGATGTAAAGGGACTTTTCTACACTGACACCCAATCTAAGGGGTCATTGCTACACTGATCACCAATGTAAAGGGACCTTTCTCCACTGACATCCAATGTAGGGGGGCAATTTCCCACTGACACCCGATGTAAAGGGGCATTTTCCCACTGACACCCGATGTAAAGGGGCATTTTCCCACTGACACCCGATGTAAGGTGTCACTCCTACATTGATCTCCAATGTGAGAGGACAAGTTTCCATTGACCACCACTGTGAGGGAGCGCTTTTCCAATGACAGCTGGTGTAGAAGTGCATTCCAATTTTCAGCCTGTATCTCTTCTGGCCATCAATATTTGTTTCAATTAATTATTGTTATTATTATTATTACTGCATGAATTAACCATAGTTTTTTGTTTTGTTTTTTACAGATATCAAAGCGAATTTCTGTATTTGACATTTTCCCAGAAGGCAGCAGAGACCAGGTGAGTTAAATGTCCGGATGGAGAGAAGTAAAAGATGTCATTGATGTACTGTACATGCAATATTCTTACTCCAAGTGATGTATTAGTTATTCCTCCCGTGCTGAGGCCTCTATGCCTGGCCTGTATAAGCGGATACAATCACCGCGGACAATCCCTATCAGATAGCTGAACGCACCAAATACATTTTCATCCACGAAGATCTTTATTGAATGCAGCAGGTTACAGCAAAGAACAGAATCCCAGATAGCAAGCAATCGAGCTGCAAGTTTGAAAATGACTTGCTAAACTATTGCTAGACTTGCCAAGCTTCACAATTTTGTTGCACAATTACAGCAAGTCTGCATTGCAAGTCTCCAGACCAGCGAGCTTTGCAAAAGTGCTGTACACTTGCAGAGCTCTTGCTAAGACCTGCAGGACCTGCTGTAGACTTGCCAAGAAAATTTGCTACAAATTCAAAAAGTGTCAACTAGAACTTGTGCTGAAAGTGTTCTGCAAGTCTACAACTTGCCAGGAATGTGTGCAGGAAGTTAACAAGAATTACGTTTGTGGCAAGTTATCCACACGTTTGTGGCAAGTTATCCATGCTATCTGGGAAGTAGCAGATGATTGAAAAGACGGTAATTGCAGGTCAAAAGATGGTAATGCTTCCCCCCATGCGAGCATATAAACACGTGGCCTTGAGACAAGCGGTTATGGCACCAAAAAGGACAATGTGAAGAAGAAAGGAGAAATACATCTTAAAATGGGAGGGTACACAGTAAAGGATGGTGTCATAACCTAAATGACCACAAGATGGCAGCACATCAACCAGCTTTGTATACTGATAATATGCTGGTAATGGCTTAAAGGAGAACTATGGGGTCAGTGCTTTTCCCCATAGTTCTCCTAAGGGTCACGGGAGGACATAAACTAGCGTCCTCCCATGACCCAAAGCTCAGTATATCGCAAACTACAGCTCACGGTATACTGAGACCGCCGCACCCGGGACGGATCCCGACATTACTGTCGAGATCCACCCAACTGCGTAATTGACAGCTGGCTCTGCCTCTCTAGTGGCAGAGCCAGCTGTACCCGCTCCGTTCTGCCAATCAGCAATGGAGGATCGCAGCGGGGAGGGGGAATCCCTGCAGGGAGCCGTGAGTAACAGTCACGGCTCCCTGCAGGGACATGATCGAGAAGTGAGCAAGCGACGGTATGTGTTCGCTCACTTCCCGATCTACTGAGCCAACGTGTGACAGTTTCATTGTTACACGTCGGCTCGAACTATGAGGTTGAGTGAAAATCACCTACCTCATAGTTCTCCTTTAAGGAAATTGTAAATTATTAATTCACAGTAATATGAATATTAACCCCGACTATGCATTGTATCATATAATTGTTATCACAGCGCATACAAAGTTCCTTTTGCAGCAACAAATCCCTTCACAGCCATGTCAAGGCAATACTGGAAATATAATGTGTCAAAGCGCTTTTAGGGCTCCTGAGCACAGCCATACAACTTATATTCCGAATTGGTTCCATGCCAGGGAACCACAGGTGGTGCGTACAGCCTCCTATTGAAGTCAAAGGCTGTAAGGGGGCATATGGCGGACTTGTGTATACATGTGCATGTGTACGAGCGGCAGCCCTGAACAAGTTGTGCACTTGAACGCATGTGTATGTTTATGCAAGTCCGCTGTATACCCATATACGGCCACAGACGGTCATTGACCTCTTTAGAGGGTGTACACAGCACCAGTGGCTTCCCGGTGTGGGAAATACACTGGCAAACCATAGTACATGGCGGCTGAGTAACCTTTCACCAGACTAATTGAAACCTTATCTCTAACAAAACATTTTATCTGTAACAAAATAAACCAAGGCAACAGGACTTGCTGTATTTCTCTTGAAGAAGTGTCGATGGTCATCTGACTAGCTTTCTCAATTGAGAATTCTGACTTGAGAAAGCTGGTCGGATGACCAGCCAAACGTCTTCAAGAAAAATACAGCAAATCCAGTTGCCTTGGTTTATTTTTTTACAGATATATCATGACCTGGATGAATAAGAACCTTTGAAGACATTTAACAAAATATTGTTCTTGATTTTCCAGAATAGATTGTTAATCGATCGTTGTTGATTTCCTAGAATGAGAATAATCCAGGCAGAAGTGGAGAGGAAGACGCAGCGGAGGGCTGTACAACACTGCCAGTGGATGAAGCCAATGTGATTGTCTCAACTGTCAGCGAACAGCAGAATCAGAGTGAGGAGACTATTGGGGTGGCGTTTAAAGTCTCATTAGGATGTATGGGGTAACTTTTCAAGTTGATATATTTATGGACAATTTAAAGCTAAACTCCGAACACAGAAACATTAATCTAGATGTGTTCCTCAATAGTCACAGAGGATATAAATCCACTTTGTGTGCACCAAATGACTTTGCAATATCCTTCTAAAAGTAGCAGTGACATCATCACTGTGCTGTACATAGCCTGTGTAGAGAGGAGAGCTGTGGGAGGGACCTAGCAGGCCTCACCCACTACATAAAACTACAGGAGGGGCCGTAGACAAGACCATTCACCCTGCACTAGGAGAGTGAGCAGAAGTGAGCGGTCTTTATTACAGGAGGGGGCAGAGACAAGACCAGGCACCCTGCACAAGGAGAGAGCAGAAGTGACCGGTCTTTGTTACAGGAGGGGGCGGAGACAAGACCAGTCACCCTGCATAAGCGGAAAGAGCAGCAGTGAGCGGTCTTTATTATAAGAGGAGGCTGAGACAAGACCAGTCACCCTGCAACAGGAGAGAGAGCAGCATTGAGCAGTCTTTATTATAGGAGGGGGTGGAGACAAGACCAGTCACCCTGCACAAGGAGAGAGAGCAGCAGTGGGAGGTCTTTATTACAAGAGGGGGCGGAGACAAGACCAGGTACTCTGCACAAGGAGAGAGAGCAGCAGTGACCGGTCTTTTTTACAGGAAGCTCCAAGTCTCACACTTGATTACTGCACAGATCTGGAAGAAATACACAACGTTCACCAAGTTTCAAGGAAGAACACACATGACTCTTGTATGAGGAAAATATTTGCTTATCCTAGAGCTCAGCTTTAAAGCCCAACATCAGCACAGTGGCGTAACAACAGCCATAGCATTCCACGCAGCTGCCATAGGGCCTGGGAGAGGAGGGGGCACCCCCTTTTAGGGAGGCTGATTAGGAAAACTAAACTGTGAACTTTCCAGTATGGAAGTCAGACCCCGGGATCATTCTAGTCACAGACTGCAGATGAAGGAACATTTGCTAAGCTATCTTAGCCCCCGGTCTCTTTTGCAGCAGAGTCACAAATTCCTGCATGACTCCGCTGTGTTTATGCGAACAGCGGCTGTTCACATGTAATGGGACATGCAGCGATTACCTGCGGGTGATCACCTCTGGGCATTGCTGTCATTGCAGCGCTCCCCCCCCCTGCAGCGATTCACATAAACACAGCTCATGGAGGAATTCAGAAGACTGCTCCAGACGTGTGAATGGAGCCTCAGCAGTGTATTGCCCTCTGAACTTCTGCAGACTCAAAGTAACGCGGTATGCCTAATGCAACCAACATTTCTAATGTAAAACATAATAATGTTATATATAATAATATAATAATATAATGATAAAATAATAACAATAATATCATTATATTATTATTAGCATTATATTATTATTAATAACATTATTAATAATCCCGCGATACTATCCCGCGATCGTACGAGAATAGTGCAATGTGAATGAAGGCGTGCAACCCTTCCTACTGTACGGTCGCACGTCTTTTGTCTAAGGAGCATGCTAGAAAACCACATAATGATGGTTTGAATGATGCTCAGGAGACAAATGCCGAACGGGCCGTTGTGCGCACGCGCACACTGCCCGTTCAGCATTGCGGCCATCGCAAGTACGATCTGCCTGTCCAAGATGGACAGATCATACGTTTTTTAAATTACTTTACAACCATCGCAAGACCAAGGTCTTGCGGTCTTGGTTGTAAAGTGTATGGGCACCTTTACTCTAATTGGCTTCAGTTCTACTTAGGCATCTCTGTTATGGACACAACATTTAATCAGAACCTTCCTATCTCACATTCCCATCAGTGACCATAAAACAAGAGAGAAAGTCCTTCATAATAATGTAATAAAATCCAGAGTCTCCTCCCCGCAGTGGCATTTCAGTGTTTAGTGGAATCGAGTGTTTTGCTTTCGGAAATATTTCATCTGTCTGTACATTAAAGCTGGCCATACATATGATAGGGTGGCCGGTTTCCCCCCCACTAGATCTTGCCATACCCTAAACCGGCCGTTTAGCATTTGGACTGGTGCCTGCTTTTTCCCAGAGCTCTGAAATGTGCAAAGTGGAAGAGTTCAGTCCCATAACCTCATACTGAATGGAATCAGTGCACAGCGGAGGAAGTGTCAGTCCCGGCATTACCATTGTCCTCGCCGCTGATGTCGGCAATGCGGTCTGCGTGCAGACTACATATGAGTGTAACATGAAGCATGGTCAGAAAGGTAAACTTAGCCCTTAACTTGATGGGTGCAGCTCCTCTGCCTTGCAAAAAAAATGCCAGGCTTTTATAGGGGGCTGCTTTCTGAAATTCATATAAAAGGAAATGGAAATAAAAGTGGACATTCTTGATGAATTCTAAGAACTCTTGTGTCCGTCAATGGACTCCAAGAAAATGATTTTTTTACGGTGAGTACAAAAATCCTATTTTCTTTTTTTGTCCATTGAGGGACACAGGAATTCTTAGACTGTCCACTTCTCCTGTAGGTGGCAGTATAACCCAGCAGTCTAAGGCCTCGTTCACACCATCCTCAGTACGTTCCAGCCCGATTCTGGCCAGAACGCACTGGATAGCATTGTGGCTCAGTTTGTTGTGGGGCGTGAGGGGGCATGGCGGTGAAGTGAATGGAACCGCAGCCACGCCCTCCTGCCGCAATGCGATCGACCTCATTGGAACGCAAGTCATATCAATGCCTGCAGTCCGGTCAAAAAAAAATGCTGCAAGCACTATTTTTTCTGACCGGACCGCTGGCATTGATGTGCCTTGCGTTTCCGTGCAGCCGGAGGGCATGGCTGCGGTGCCATTCACTTCACTGCACCGCCACGCCCCCTCCCGCCCTACAACATACTGAGCCGGCCGCAATGCGTGGCTGCGGTGCCATTCACTTCCCTGCACCGCCATGCTCCCACCCGCCCCACAACAAACTGAGCCGGCCGCAATGCGTGGCTGCGGTGCCATTCACTTCCCTGCACCGCCATGCTCCCACCCGCCCCACAACAAACTGAGCCGGCCGCAATGCGTGGCTGCGGTGCCATTCACTTCCCTGCACCGCCATGCTCCCACCCGCCCCACAACAAACTGAGCCGGCCGCAATGCGTGGCTGCGGTGCCATTCACTTCCCTGCACCGCCATGCTCCCACCCGCCCCACAACAAACTGAGCCGGCCGCAATGCGTGGCTGCGGTGCCATTCACTTCACTGCACCGCCACGCCCCCTCCGTCCCCACAACATACTGAGCCGGCCGCAATGCGTGGCTGCGATGCCATTCACTTCCCTGCACCGCCACACCCCGTCCTACAACATACTGAGCCGGCCGCAATGCGTGGCTGCGGTGCCATTCACTTCACTGCACCGCCACGCCTCCTCCATCCCCACAACATACTGAGCCGGCCGCAATGCGTGGCTGCGGTGCCATTCACTTCACTGCACCGCCACGCCTCCTCCATCCCCACAACATACTGAGCCGGCCGCAATGCGATCCAGTGCGTTCCGGCCACAAACAGGCCGGAACACACCGAGGATGGTGTGAACGAGGCCTAAGAAGTCTAAAAATTCTTGTGAACCTCAATGGACTAGAAGAAAAGGATTTCACGGTGACTACAAAAATCCCATTTATTTTCCTCTACAAGCCTCCCGCCACACCCCGACCTCAAGTTCTGCTTAGATGGTGGTGCCGGAATTAATGTATCACACGCCGATGTGCTTTGATGCACATCCGAAGGGAACCGAAAATCACAAGGGCTATCAGAAATACCCCAAAGATCACAATGATGTATTCGGCGGGGCCGTACTGCTCTGGTACCGGGGGACCCTTTATATCCGGAAAAATTACGGTAAATCGTTCGGTCAGTCTGCGGTCCACATAGCAATCGAACAACCCTCGCTCAGTCTTATTGAGCATATGGATAGACAAGGTCCCGCCTCCGGTTGGGCCGTCCAAGGTGTACAATGTCTTCTTGAGCATCTGCTGCAGACGCGTGATGGATTTTCTTCCATGCATCCAATATACGGGTCTGTGGGTGAAAACACATGTTATTATAGGCTGTCATGACACAGATATGTGTCACAATGTGTGTACTTCTGGTTTGAATGTTCTTCAATAGGTTCAATCCTATAGAACATAGTCAATGGGGAAAATACCTCACTATGGCCACTAGATGGCGCTAAGGATCATAAAACAAATAAATGCATTGTATCCCGTTACTAACGTATTTATTTCCTATGATCCTCAGCGCCATCTAGTGGCCATCCTGCAGTATTTTCCCCATTCACTCTGTTCTGTGTGTATGGTCCCAATGAAGAACATATGACCAGAAGAGAAAATACACAGGACAATTGTTTTCTAGGTGTTCTTGCATCAAGTCTGCATTGATCGATGCAGATCAGTGGGCATGGTGTGAAGGAGCCCTTAGGTAAATATCTTCTACATCAGGGGTGCCCATTAGGTCGCTTTGCGATCGGCTGTGTCCTGACCTCCCACGGTGCTTGTGCGGCTGCCGGCTGAATGTGTCAAACGCCACAGACGGGAAGGGGCGGGACACCTCTCCCCGTGTGCAACGTCGGCCACATTCGGTCACAGACCGTGGGACGACAGGACACCGGAGCACGAGAGGAGACCTGGGAATCTGCTGCAGTGAAGGTAAGAAAAGACAAACAGGGGAGAGACTGCAGAGAAAGTGTGAGAAGAGACAGCAGAGAGAGAGAAGAGACAGCAGAGAGAGAGAGAGAGAAGAGACAGCAGAGAGAGAGAAGAGACAGCAGAGAGAGAGAAGAGACAGCAGAGAGAGAGAGAGAAGAGACAGCAGAGAGAGAGAAGAGACAGCAGAGAGAGAGAAGAGACAGCAGATAGAGAGAAGAGACAGCAGATAGAGAGAAGAGACAGCAGAGAGAGAGAGAATAGACAGCAGAGAGAGAGAGAAGAGAGCAGAGAGAGAGAGAAGAGACAGCAGATAGAGAGAAGAGAGACAGCAGAGAAAGTGAGAGAAGAGAGACAGCAGAGAAAGTGAGAGAAGAGAGACAGCAGAGAAAGTGAGAGAAGAGAGACAGCAAGAAAGTGAGAGAAGAGAGACAGCAAGAAAGTGAGAGAAGAGAGACAGCAGAGAAAGTGAGAGAAGAGAGACAGCAGAGAAAGTGAGAGAAGAGAGACAGCAGAGAAAGTGAGAGAAGAGAGACAGCAGAGAAAGTGAGAGAAGAGAGACACCAGAGAAAGTGAGAGAAGAGAGACAGCGGGAGGGGTTGTATTGAAGTCAATGGCACTGCAGCCACGCCCCCCGCCCGCAATGCGATCGCCCGCACCCGGAACCCAGGCACATTAGTGCCTGCATTCCAGTCCAGTGCGATCTGCAAAAAATAGTGCTTGCAGCATTTTTGCCGATCGCACTGGACCGGAATGCAGACACTAATGTGCCTGCGTTCCTGGTGCGGGCGTGGCGGCGTGGCTGAGGTGCCATTGACTTCAATGCAAGCCACACCCCCTCCCGCCCCTGGATGCAGGTATTTTTTCGTTGGTAGATCTCATTGAGCTCGTCATTTGAAAAGTAGATCTCCAGAGGAAAAATTGTGGGCGCCCCTGTTCTATATCAACTGTCTGCATTGCCTCACATCAGCAAATGAGATTCTGGTTATATTATACTTACTTGTAGATAGTAGATTCTGGGCATGTAAAAGAAACATCCGCATGGAGCAAGGTATGGTAGTTATCTAAAACTATAATCGGGACTTTTTCGGTGTCTGTAGACGGCTTGACTCTACAGTCCTCCCAACATGCCTCGAACTGCAGTTCAGGGGGACGGTGGACAGAGACCCCCTTGAAGGTCCTCCATGCCAGGCCACAGGGCAGGGGTCCTCTCAGTCGAATGGCATCTTTGGAGACTTCGGCGTAGCAATAGCCAATCCTCCTCCTTTCTCCGAGAGATTTACATCGGTCGCAGGGCTGCCATTTACTCCACACGGTGAACATCTGCAAGGTGCCGTCTTCACCAAGATCAGTGGCCGTGTTCAGCAGGGCATTCTGCATCAGGCTGGCATGGGAGATATAAATGTGACTGGCATCCTGGAAATCAACCTCGTAGCTGGCCAGGGTCTTCTCCCCATCTTTACAGATATATACCCCCGTGTCCTCAACTCTGGGAGAGGTGATCTCGAGATCTCCTGAGTCCAGCTTGGCGCGGGACATCAAGCTGGAGAAGGCCAGATGCTGTCCTGTGCTAAGGCCTTTGGTAAGGTTCACAGGTCCGCTGCTCGATATGAAGGTGACAGCTTCGATATAGGGGTCCCTGGCCTCCAGGAACTGCCAGGTGATGGGGGTCTCTGCTGGCCGCTCCCCACATTTTAAGGACATGGGGTTGCTGGTCATAAATGCCTTATAGCAAGGTCCATGAGCTGGGCACTGGAGGATGTTTTCTTGATTTCTCCCAACAGGAACCATGACTACAAGAAGCATAAGAGAAATCGCAACGCGCGCGAGAAACCTCATCTCCCTGTCTGTTCAAACTCAGCAACTTGCATAGCCTTGATGACATCACCGTATCATTGACATCATCACCTTTTCCTATTAAAGCCATGCTGTGGCAGTTATGCTTCTCTCCTAATATTGGTGGAGTAAGCAACCAATCAGAGTCAAGTTTTTCGTCCTAACGACTTCTTCCAGTGCAGATGTGACAAAGATTGGTTGCAGCAAAGCCACACAGAGAGGGGGATTTATCAAAACTGGAGCAGTTGTGCATGGCAACCAATCAGCTTCTCTCTTTCATTTTCAAATCCTAACTGAACATACCGAAGAGCGAAGCCGATTGGTTGCTATTGGAAACTGCTCCAGTTTCTGTCTGCTCCAGTTTTGATAAATTCCCCCCCAGACATTTATTTTTACTTTATTCCTTTGCTACATAAAGGCTTATATGATAAATGTATTAAAATGCTAGTTTGTGGTAACTTGTAGCACATTCAATACCTTATTGCTTGGTATTGTAGTACAGTGCCCCTTATTTATATGGGTTTGTACGAGACTGTCTCTCCAGGGCAGGGGTGGACAACTCCGGCCCTCCAGCTGTTGTGGAACTACAAGCCCCATGAGGCATTGCAAGACTCTGGCAGCCACAGGTATGGCTAGGGTTGCCACCTTTTCTTCAAGTGAAACCCGAACGATCTGGCGCCGCAATTTTATTTTTTGGGGAATATAGAGGAGAGACGGCCAAGGGAGGGAGTAAGGAGACCGGCTATAGAGGACTACAAGTTCCAGCAATACATTATACACCAATACAAAATAAATATCAAGAGATTGTTACGGGGTGGCTCCCTGATGTCTCCAGGGTCTCAGGTGGACTCTGCGGACTCTCACCAGGGCTGTGCTGGCTCTCAGATGGACTCTGCAAGCTTTCAGATGAGCCGTTGAGGCCTTCAGATGGGCTGTGCGGGCTCTCAGGTGGGCTGTGCGGGCTCTCAGGTGGGCTGTGCTGGCTCTCAGGTGGGCTGTGGAGGCTCTCAGGTGGGCTGTGCGGACTCTCAGGTGGGCTGTGCGGACTCTCAGGTGGGCTGTGCGGACTCTCAGGTGGGCTGTGCGGACTCTCAGGTGGGCTGTGCGGACTCTCAGGTGGGCTGTGCGGGCTCTCAGGTGAGCTGTGCTGGCTCTCAGGTGGGCTGTGGAGGCTCTCAGGTGGGCTGTGCGGGCTCTCAGATGAGCTGTGGAGGCTCTCAGATGAGCTGTAGAGGCTCTCAGGTGGGCTGTGTGGGCTCTCAGGTGGGCTGTGCGGGCTCTCAGGTGGGCTGTGTGGGCTTTCATGTGGAGTATGCAGACTTTCAGGAGTGCTGTGCGGTGTCTCACCAGGGGTCTGGAGGCGGGCAGCGTGGTGTCAGGAAGACATAGGAGGACATGTGCGCGCCGGCGCCTGTTTACATGCGCCTGTGGCTCGCAGGAAGGCTGCCAAGGTCCCACGCTTGCTGGGGACCTCCGCAGCCTTCCTCTGAGCAGCGGGCCCGCACATCTCCTCTTCCGTCTTCCTGACACTTGTCAAAAAATTGAAAGCGTCCGGGTGTCAGCTGCCCTGTAACCCGGACACGGGACTGAAAAACCGAACTATCTGGGTGAATCCTGGACAGGTGGCAACCCTAGGCATGACTCCCAGGGGCAGTAACATGTTGGGATTTGTATTTAAAGCTTAGCTGAAGGGCCGGAGTTGCCCACCCCTGCTCTAGGGGTAATCTGCATATCATGCACCTTTGCTGTACAACTGCGGAGACTAAAACAGTAACATAAGAAGGCTCCAAAAGATGTATTGATTATGGGCACATAATCAATAAATCCTTCTGAGACTTCTTATGTTACCCTCAGTTCTCCTTTATATTTACTATGGTTTTACCTGTTTCAGATGTTTCCAGATGTGAACGTCTTTGCAGTTCGGAAGATAAGTTGTCGCTGTGTTCTCTGCATCAAGTGTCCAGAATCCTCGTCGCCATTTCCATCATCCTCTCGATCGTCGCGATATCCCTGTCCATCCTTCTCATCCGTAAGTCAAAAGGGCATATTGCTCCCTGATTGCTGCCCCGTCCTCTGCACTGTACCGGTCTTATCAGAACAGTCCGTCATGCTAAAACTTTGCTGTCTCCAGCAGCTGTTCATCTTCTAGTTTGTAAAAGGGAGGAAGGAGGAGCGGGGGAGTGTCTTGCCTTGCTTATTGTGTGGTGATGGAAACAGAGCTTACTAGCACACACAAGGGTGGCACTACAGGACCCTGCAAGGGAAAGCAGCCACCCTAGAACAGGATAGCAGGGCCAGTGCTCAGGGGACCAGCTGATTCTACAGGAAGTTTAAACTTTTAAACATCAAGAAGCAGCCCCCATTGTAAGTTATATAATCTGCATTTGAAATAGCTTTACAATCTGTTGACTTTATCACTTTAAAGGAGAAGTATGAGGTGAGTGATTTCCACTCACCTCATAGTTCTAGCCAACCTGTGACAATGAGACTGTCACAGGTCGGTTCAGTAGATCGGGAGGTGAGGGAACACATACCAGGTTCGCTCACCTCTCGATCCTGTCACGGCTCTCTGCCATGGCAGGGGGAGGGCTGGATTCCCCTCTCCCCGCTCTTATCTGCCAGCACTGACTGGCGGAACGGACGGGGGAGGGGGCGGGTACAGCTGGCTCTGCCTCTAGATAGGCAGAGCCAGCTGTCACTCACGCAGCTGGGCGGATACCGCCATCTACGCCGGGATCCGCTCCGGCTGCGGCGTCTCAGTATACCGCGAGCTGTTTGTGTCCTCCCGTTACCCTAAGGAGAACTATGGGGAAAAACACTGTCCCCATAGTTCTCCTTTAAAGTTAGTGGTTACTTACCTGATTGGACGGAAGTGGGCTGATTGGGAGGAGCTTCTAGGGGTGATCTGCAAGTTCAAATCATATGGAGATCTGCAGGTGTCAAGAGCTTAACCCCCATCCACCCACATAGGACAGTCTGGATGCAAGGAAGCTGGTATGGGGGTTGGGGTCCTTGAAGGCAGTTTAATCTGGTGGGATTGCAGTCAAGTTGGGGATCCATCTTCTGTTTCATGTCCTCTATTCGGTGTAGTCAGCTTGTAGGGACTGGGTAGGTATGGACTAGTATGTGTGTGTACAGGTCAACTGATATCGTCCCCAAGGGGATGTATTGTGGCTGGGGCTGGGGGCCCAACATACATCACTGGTACTGCAGACACAGGGATTGGGTATCTTTCATATAGCGGTATTGGGATATGGTTGGGAACCCATCTTAGGTATGGTAATCTTTATTCAGTGCAGTCAACTTGTAGCAACTGGGTAGTTCTGGACCAGTGTGTGTTTGCGGTCAACTGATATTGTCCACAAGGTGGTGTTTTGCGGCTGAGGGTCCAACATAGGAACTGGTGCCACAGACATAGGAATTGGGTATTGTTCATGTGGTGGTATTGGAAAAAGATTGGAAACCCATCTTCGGTGTGGTGTTCTCTATTCAGGGTGGTCAACTTGTAGTGACTGGGTAGTTATGGACCAGTGTGCGTCTGCGGCCAACTGACATTGTCCCCGGGGTAGTTTATTGCGAATGAGGGTTTAACATAGGAACTGGTGCCACAGACATAGGCATTGGATATTGTTCTTATGGTGGTATTGGAAAACAGATGAGGACCCATGTTCTGTGTGGTGTCCTTTATTTAGTGCGGTCAACTTGTAGGTGCTGGGTAGGTATGGATCAGCATGTATCTGTGGTCAGCTGATCGTCCACGAGGCGGTGCATTGCGGCTAGAGGCCTAACACAGTAACTGGTGCTGTTGGGTGTTGTTCATATGGTGCCCTCAAGGACCTGAAAACCTATCAGGGTCTTTCTCTGGTTGTGTTACTGTTAATATTTAGAATTCTTGTGTTTTTCTATAAGAAAAGGTGCTATGGGCAACTCTACTCAAGTCTAACTTCCTTTGGGTAGGGTGATTTTGGAGATGGGGTTGTGGCCAGCAGTGGGTTTAGGGGAGTGGGTTACCTCTGGTCTTCCCTGGTTATGTTCCAACAATGTATATCCCACTCCCCTGCCATTACCAATGACTGACCTATGATAATGAATACCCTTTTATTGTTCACAGTGCAGTACTTCTACCAGCCAGAGGTGCATCAAGCCTGTCCGGACTACTTAGAGAGTTGTATCCCCTCTTTAAACTGTTCTCTTACCGATGGTGCCAACCCCTGCCCCCCAAGCAGGCAGCCAAGCAACCGGACCATGGCCAGCGGTGAGGAAGCAGATAATGATAACAAAGTAGACTTTTAAACTATTATTTTTACATCTTGATGTTGGGAATCGCTACTCTGCTAAAGTATATCTTAAAGGAGAACTATGAGGGGAGTGCTTTTCACTCCCCTCATAGTTCTAGCCGACCTGTGACAATGAGACTGTCACAGGTCGGCTCAGTAGATCGGGAGGTGAGCGAACAGATACCGGCGTTCGCTCACCTCTCGATCCTGTCACGGCTCTCTGCCGTGACAGGGGAGGGGCTGGATTCCCCCCTCCCCGCTCCGATCCTCCAGCGCTGACTGTCGGAACGGACGGGGGAGGGGGCGGGTACAGCTGGCTCTGCCTCTAGATAGGCAGAGCCAGCTGTCACTCACGCAGCTTGGCGGATCTCGACATCGATGTCGGGATCCGCTCCGGCTGCGGCGTCTCAGTATATCGCTAGCTGTAGCTCGCGGTATACTGAGCTTAGGGTAACGGGAGGACGCTAGTTTGTGTCCTCCTGTTACCCTAAGGAGAACTATGGGGAAAAGCCCTGACCCCATAGTTCTCCTTTAAGTAGTTTAGCAAAAGTGAACTGGGCAGAGCTGACACCACTCATGCTGTGTGTTGGAGCTGAAAGCATTTCTGGCAGAACGGGTGTTTTTCTGTACTTGCAGGGTTTTTAAAGGGTTAAAACATGGGGAAATGTGCATGATTTTTTAATTTTTTTTATTAGGCACTGACATGCATTTTAAGCTAGCAACAGACAAATATGATGATCTCTGGTTGTGTTGTCAGAATACATGAATCCAGTGCTGCTGCTGACCGGACGCTCGCTGCTGCAGTTGTACAGCGCCCACGCTGGCCGCTATTACACCGTGTGTCACCAGGGCTGGAAGACCTCCCATGGCTGGACAGTGTGCAGAGAGCTGGGCTTCAGCAGGTACTCGGTGTGTCTCTGTCTGTGGGATTTCGGAAAATCTCCCCGCTAAGGCCTTGTTCACACCAAGCACGTTCCAGGAGCAGAGCAGTTACAGACCGGATCAAAACTGCGTCCAATGTATTCCAATGGTATTTTGGGCTCTAGTTCACACCGCAGCGTTCAGTTCCAGAGCATGCAAAAAAACTGCAGCAAGCCCTACTTTACCTGCTCTGGAACGCATGCAAACGCATGCAAACACCGTGGAACGCACTGAAAGCCCATTTTAAACTGCAAAAATATATATCTTTTTTTACCAAAAACGGCCCGAAACGCATCAAAAACGCGTCAAAAAATGCGGCACAAACCACTGCACTGCGTGTGCAGAAACTCATGCAGATCTGGTCTGCATTTGGTGTGAACAAGGCCTAAGTGTGATCTGCCATTTGATTTATTCATTCTTTCTAATCTGAGTAAAGTCTCCCAGGAATATTCAATAATTCAAAGTAGGAATGCACCGATACCGGCTTTTCGGTATTGATTATGAGTACCGATATTTATATTTCGGTATTCGCAGATACCGAGTACTGATTCTGGTACTTCCGGTAACATGGAGCCGGCTTCCCGAGCAATAAGGAAGCCAGGCAGCGTGTCATTACCTGCCACCCGACTTCTTGATTGCCCGGTAAGCCGGCTCCATGCTGTTTGGCCAGGAAGCCAGCTGCCCAGCCAATCAGCATGGAGCTGGCTTCCTGGCCAATCAGGGGCCAGCTGATTGTCTGGGAAGTCGGCTTCCCAGACAATCAGCATCGAACTGGCCAAACAGCATGGATGGCTCCACGGCCAATCAGGAGGTCGGGCCGCGAGCCATTACCCAAGGCCCGGCTTCCTGACTGTCCATGTTACCTTGCGGCAATGCCGGTCAGAGGAAATCTCCATCTGACCGGAAGTTTCGGTAACGGGATAAGTATCGGAGCATTTGGGTGAGTACGACTATTGGACGAAATACTCGGTTTCGGCACTGATATCAGTATCGGTTTCGGTGCATCCCTAATGCAAAGTAAATTTAGCAAGCGCTACATTTTCCAAGAATATAGTTACAATGCAACGCATTTTGAATGCTGGGGGCCCTGCATGCACCCACGCTGCATTTTTCTGTGCCTTGTAGGATAATGGTGCCCACGGATATTTTTGAAATGTAATGTTTTTGGTGTTGCCTCTTTGCTGCCCTAAGCAATGGCCTCCTTGTGCCATTATGGTACATGGAGCTCTGGCCGTTCACACGTTCATTTTTCACTATACAAACCCACCCAATCTAATCAATTAAAGAAGAACCCCAGGCGGCAAATGAAAAAACTTACCCTTGCAGTGGGAGGCGTTATGGAAATATCAAAATGACTCGATGGGTTGATGTCGGTATGGAGGAGTGGGATTTCCTAGGCAGGCTTCGTTTGTATGCAGACCAACCTAGATACCACCCACATGTGATACTGAGCCTCCTTGACTGAAGGAACTAATATCCAATAAATGAAAGGGGCGGGCCAGGGACAGTCAGGCTGGCAAGTCATGAGCTAGATGATACTGGATGTCCTCCAGCTAAGAGTTGAAGCGGGCTCTATCTGATTTGCTGCAGCGTCTAAAGCACATTTTGAGAAGCTCAGAGTGTGCAGTGAAATCAGAGGAAGCCATTTCAGTCCAGGAATGGAGCCGGTACAACTGTGCAGGACTGAAGAGAAGGCCGGAGTTCTGCCTAAAGAGTTTGTTTGTTTTTTACCTCTAATTTCTTGAAGGGGACTTGAAAACATGACTAGCAGACCCCTGCCAATGCTGGAGTAGAGTAGCATGACTCTGTAATGTGAGTCAGTAGCAGCAGCATCACCAGGTCTGGTGTCACCTGGTGCGTCCGCCGGCTGTCACCTGGTGTGCACATTATTATGTCTACACGTGACGTCATTATGCACGCGCGTAGTGACATCATGTGCACTTCATTGCCGGTGGCTATCTTGGTGATGGACGCTGGCAAAGAAATGAGGGAACGTTCATTCAGTGGGACTGTCAGTTATTCTGGGGTCACCCGGTGTGATGCCCCCAGTCAGTACAGTGGTACCCTGGTTCATGAACTTAATTCTTTCCGCGATTCTGGTTGCGAACCGAACAGAAGCGTTCGTGAACCGAGGTACCACTGTAGTTTTATGCTTGCAGTTTGTTTCCCCTCTGCTGTATATATGGAAGTGACAATTGTATTCTGTGTCTCTCTTTTTTGTCCCTGTAACAGCAACACTGTATTGTCATCTCCTGTGTCACTGAACACAACCGATGCCACCTGCCTGGAGTCGTTTGCTGTGGTGAACAAAACTACAGGACCTCCCAGTAACCTCGAGGCATTCCTGAGCCCCGTGTAAGTGACAACACATTAACACTAGAGGGCAGCCTGACTCAAGTAGACACAGACGTCTTCATAGTCATCCAATGGGGACTCCTGTTCCGGTGACAACTGTCGAAGAGGGGATTTCCCATTACCTTAGGGCAGGGGTAGCCAAACTGCGGCCCTCCAGCTGTGTTGAAACTACAAATCCCATGATGCATCTCTCTGGGATTCATGTCTGTGGCTGTGAGACTCTTGCAATGCCTCATGGGATTTGTAGTTCCACCACAGCTGGAGGGCCGGAGTTTGGCTACCCCTGCCTTAGAGATTGTCTCCTGGACAGGAAGTGAAAGAACATCTCCCCATAGCTAAAAAAATTAAAAAAAATAACAGGGTTTTAACTATTCTCTACTCTATCTAAAAGTTTTTAAAAAAAAGCATTTTAACTAATTGTGGGCCATCATTCTTATGTTGGGCTCGAACCCACAAAATTGCCTTTCACCATATTAAAGGATAAGTGTACTTTAAAGCAAAGTGTGTTTATACTTTTTGCCCCTCTACCGTGACCTAACCTACCCCTCCCTCCATAGAGGCATACTTACCTGGATCTGATGGGCGCAGTTCAACTGTTTGTTCACATGCAGTGCTGCAAGTCTTAATTGTCCTGCCCACGTCTGTGCGTTACAGCCCCATAGACTTCTATGTGGCTGTGTCCCCCAGAGTTTGTATTCAATGGGGAAGGGATAGAACATCTGTCAGGTTTTTGTTTGTTGTTGTGTCCACATCAGGAAGATTTTTTCACTTCCTGTCTCAAAGAAATGACAGGAAGTGAGAGGAAATCTCCCCAAAGCGAGAGTTTATTCACTGATCACTGGAACAGATGTACCCGTTGGAATCAGGGGCGTCCCGAGGCTGGATGACACACGGAGCGGTTACCGAGTGTCACCCCGCCGATTTGCCACTGCGCATGCGAGTGACGTCATGGCGCACGCGCGGCACTCTTTCGATACCTGCCGGCGGCCATCTTGGTGATGGACGCCGGCAGAGAGAGGAGGGGACAGTCACTCGGCGGGATAAGGTATGCCGCCGGGTCCCCTCCTCTCTCTCCTGATACTGTCGGGCGTTCGGTCCATGACCGAGCGCCCGACTTTTCAGAGGGGGGTGACAGCAAAATGACTATCAGCCATTTTGGTGTCACACCTCCAATGGTGTCACCCGGGTGCGGGCCGCACCCACCTTGTGACGCCACTGGTTGGAAGATTTCCCCTCTACTCCTATTCTGGTGACAACCATAACATTTTGGATTTCCCATCACTCAAGAGTTCAACGGGGAGAATGGAGAGGATGAGTCTCGCTAATGAAGATGCCGGCAGCAATAAGATCCTGATAGAGGTTCTAATTCCTTCTGACTCTGCTAGTTATGGCTGAAATTCCGCTTGATTAGATGTTTTATTACGGTGGAATAAAAGCATTGCGGTGAACTGAATCATACCGGCCAATCAGGTTTCAACTTTCAGCTGTAGAGTATTTTCAAGACTGTGCATGCTTTGGTCTCATTGGTTGCTATGGCTTAATCGTAGGAGTAGCCAAACTCCGGCCCTCCAGCTGTGGTGAAACTACAAATCCCATGATGCATCTCTCTCCGGGAGTCATGTCTGTGGCTGTGAGAATCTTGCAATGTCTCATGGGATTTGTAGTTCCACCACAGCTGGAGGGCCGGAATTTGACTACCCCTGTGCATATCCCAGTTCTACTTTTATTGTTTCTTTCTCAGATTAAAAATAACTGGCTGCCGTTGGCAATACGGAAAGTTCTAATTGCAGTTGCAGATGTACTTTTTATTAGACTTGATTATTCCTTGCCCCGAAGAGCTTACAATCCAACGCTTCTCCCCACCACACACACACACACACACAATGTTCAGTCTAGCTGGAAATTGGGAGCAGAGTACATCCTGAGATCTTCTGTTTTTTATATGTTTTACAGAGAATCATGTCCAGCTCAGGAGGGAGTGTCACTGCAGTGCACAGGTAAGACAGTGATCACTGCGACAAGCAGCTGGGAGATGCATTGGAAGCTGCAATGGCTGTAGTATAGATTATGGCCAGCAGATGGCGATAGGGAGTTATCCTATTATTTCTTTGCATTGATACCATTGCAATAGGTGAAGAATGCAGCACATAAAGCTGAACTCCAGACAGATATAAAAAAAAACACCATTTATTGCAGTTGTGTATTCATTTTAAAATAATTAAATACATTTTTTTCACTCAAATACCTTTGTCGCAGATTGCGGGCGGTCAGCTTCAGAGAGTCAGCGAATCGTTGGAGGTTCTCCGTCCGCCTGGGGACGTTGGCCGTGGGTAGCCAGCCTGCGCTGGGATGGACGCCATGTTTGTGGAGGATCCATCATTTCATCGCAGTGGGTGATGAGTGCAGCTCACTGCTTTGTCCTGTGAGTCATTTTCTAGCTATTTATTATATGCGGTCTAGCTGTATACTGTACCAGAGTTCTAAAATATTCCTTACTAGCATTGCTTTAAATGCGAGGTTGCTAAACAAAAGCACATGAGGTGCAGATGTGCATGATAACTTTCATTGTTTTCTATTCTGTTTAAGTATTATATAGCTGGGTGAACGTCCCCTCCATCCTGCCGGTTGAACGTCCCCTCCTCTCTCTGCCGGCGTCCACTGCCAAGATGGCTACCGGCAGGCGTCAATAGGATGACCGTGCATGCGGGATGACGCCAGGCGCGGCAATGATGTCACGGCGGGGTGTCACTTGGTCTCCGCTCAGTGTGACACCCAGCCTCGGGGCACCCCTGACTCTAATGTCCCACTATGATCCCATGCTATTAGTATTATGCATTTATATAGCTCTGACATATACCACAGTGCTGTACAGAGAACACGGAGCCAGTTATAGCGGTCTCTGCACCAGAGGAGCTTACACTCTAATGTCCCCCCACAGTCTCACACTATTATTGTACATTTATATAACTCTGACATATACCGCAGTGCTGTACAGAGAACACTGAGCCGGTCACATTAGTTTCTACAGAGGAGCTTACACTCTAATGCAGAATGGCAATACATTATACAGCAATGCATTGTACAGCAATGCAGAACAGTATATGAATTGGACTCTGGGCTTAGCAACGCATTGGACTCTGGACATAGCAATGCACTGGACTCTGGGCTTAGCAACGCACTGGACTCTGGACACAGCAACGCACTGGACTATGGACCCACCTGAGGCCCCACAGAGGCCACCGGAGATCCTGCAGAGCCCATCTGAGACCTCGACCAGCCCACATGAGACCCCACACAGCCCACCATAGATCCTGCACAGCCCACGGAGACTCTCTATGGTGGGCTCTGCAGGGTCTCAGGTGGGCTGGTCCCTGCACATGCAGCTCCTTACCTGCCGCTGCTGGCCTCCTCCTCTGCCGGACCGCCACTGCTGGGGATTGGCCTCCTCCGCCGCCGGACCGGCGGTGCTGGGCCCCAGCCCCGGCCACCTCCCCCCATTCAGTGGGCTCCCCCAGCCTTGAACCCTGGGGCGGCCGCACTGGCTGCACCGCCGTTAGTTCCGCCCCTGATAATGGGAATACCCCTCACTCCTCCGGCAGACGGCGCTCTCCTTTTCCCTCTCTAGGTGGTCCTCAGGATCCTTACTGCTGGTCCTGCACTGTATATGATGACATCATAGTGCAACCAGCAGACAGAGCGCCAAAGAGAAGTGGCTTTGGGGGAACAGTCACACAGAGAGAAGGAGTCTGTGGGAGTGAGGGATTAGGTAAGTAAAACTGCATTTAAAAGTACTGTAGGCAGAAAAACACGCATTTAACCTTTCCAGTGCTGGGGGAGCCCCACTGCAAGGATAGTTTTGTAATTTAACTTCTTTTCTGTATAGAAACCTTGTCTAGTTTTCAGCCTTTCAATATAAGGCTACAGCATGTGCCTTTTGACCTATTATTTATAGAGCATATTCATATGTAGCCTGACTTAGTCAGTGCCCCCCACCGCCACCCCAACCACAGCGGTCTTGCTGCCTTCCCTTCTCTCTGTGCCTACTCTCCATTCTAGGTCTGACTGTTTCCCATATTGCAGGTCTAACTTCCTTACCGTGGGTCGATGGAAGGTTCACGCTGGCTCGAACACCCTCAACCCAATGACATCTGTCTCCATCCGCAGCATCTACTACAATGGACTCTACAACCCCGAAACCAATGACTTTGATGTTGCTCTGATCAAAACCAGCCAGCCTATGGCCTTCTCTGGTATGTCAATCCTATGGTAAAATATGATAATGTATCTGGATGGAGCAGGAGAACCTAAAACCTGCTGGTCATTGCTGATAAAGTAAAACACATTAACATTTGGCATCACAAAGGCTGGACAGAAAAACACTGACGTATGCAGCTCAAAAATATTTGAAAGCCACACGCTACAATATGGGTGCTTCTGCTACAGTGGTTCCCTATATAAAGCCAAATCAACTAAATACATTTCAGGTGCACCAAAACAAAAGGCGGGCAAACGCTTACATTTTTCTAGTAGCCACATCTTGAGCAGATTATTCTGTCCCCTGCCAGCATAGTGCAGAGAAGGATCCTTGCTCTCTGTGGGGAAGCAGTGGTCTCTCTGCAGCGGTCTGACACGCCCCCCTGCTGAGTCAGAGCAAGAGTTCTCCAATTAGCAAAGCTCATGCTATCTGCTAATCCAAGAACTCTAGCTCTAAATCAGCAGGTGGTGCACGCCTGACCTCTGCAGAGGGACCAGCATGCTGTAAAGAAGGACCAATTATTTCTGTGTGGACGCAGTGGTCTCTCTGCAGAGGTCTGGCAAGCACCCCGTTGACTCAAACTATAGCTCTTTAATTGATAAATTAAATCTCCTTTTGTTTGAAGATTTACCAATTAAAAGGGAAGGTTTGGAACCTCTGTCAAGTTTGTGTTGCTGTCTGTGTCCCTACTAGGTAGATTTACCCTCTCTTTGTGGCCCGGCCCTGGGTCAGCAGGGAGTAGAGGGGCAGCAGGGTTGTGGAATTCCTATCGCCCGACGCCCGGGACATGCAGTTCCGTGCGCAGGGCGGGTAGTTGTTTTCTACATTTAGCCCTGCTTTGGGCAAGCAGGGCTAAAAGTACAGCGAGGAAGCCGCCACTTGTTTTGTACAAGTGATCTCAACGATGTCGCTGAGATCACTTGTATGCAGCCTGCAGGTCTGCCATTCTCCACGGGGGGGTTGCCGGTTAGGGGGGGCGCATTGAGGAACCTGGCCTTGGGGCAACAGAGAGAGTAAATCCAGCCCTGGTAAAGTGTCAAAAGACGGTTAATTGTGCATGTATTTCAGAGCTGTATTGGATATTTTCTTTATTTTATCTTAATACTTTTAATACTGCATATTACTCTTTGTTTTTTTAGCTTTGACCTGTTTTTGCTGTTCATACCCTAATTCTTCTTCCGCCACCTTTCTTGCAGAGACTCTTCGGCCGGTGTGTCTGCCCCGGGCTCATCAGCAGTTCCAGGCCACAGGAAACTGCTGGATCAGCGGCTGGGGACACGTGAGCGAGGGTGGTGAGGAGCCAGAGGGGCTCAATGTGTGTGGATGGGCTCTTGTGCATGGCTAGCTGTCTGCTGTAACATATTGATGAGCACTGATTGATTGTCTGCCATCAGTGATAGTATATAGGCCCCAACAATAACACTGCTCAAAAACAGATGTCACGCCAAGCCATTGATGGCTGGCAAAGGGAGGCCAAGGTTGGCTTATAGTTTCTGTCTATCCCATGTCTATCCAGGTCAGCTGTCTCCAGTCCTACGGGAGGCAAAGATCCACCTGATCAGCAATGACATCTGTAATCAGTCATCTCACTATCCCGGAATGATCAGCGAGAGAATGTTGTGTGCCGGCTATTTGGATGGGAAAGTGGATTCCTGCCAGGTACTTCTTTGAAAGCTACGGCACTCCAATTATCCAAAAAGACACATTACAAATTCCATTCCAATTAAGCTATACCCATATACATACTAAATGTGCAGATTGTACAGCTGCATAGGGCCCATGTATGCTAGATGCAGGATTGGGCGGGTGTGGGGACCCATCCTGTTGTCACATAGACCTGGGCGCTGCTCATATCTAAGACAGTTGAGAAGTGGGAGGCATTCATCATAACGCCATAACCTTTCGTATTGTTTGTTATATCTAAGTGGTGTTGGACAGTGAGCACCAACTTCACTTCCTGCCTGACCACCTCTCTCATTTCCTTGTGACACCATTTGGACAGGAAGCGTCTGTCTGACATATAATAGTGAAATATAATGAACCGTGAGAGAGATACTTCAAGTACTGCTCTTCATCAAGATCCAAATACCTATCTATTAGACATGTAAGCTGCGGAAAAATTCGGTTCGGTTCAGATATTTCCTTATTTCAGGATTCGGATCCGAAATTCAATTTGAACGAAATCCGAATTTCGTTAGTTTCGGATGAGTTACGAAAGTATATCCGTTCCGATTACCACATAAAACTATATATTAATACAAAAGCTGAGGCTCCTAGACCCAAATGGCATTTGGGATCCGAATTTCCGAATGCAATTCGGAAATTCGGTTGCAGAATGCCATTCGGATCTAGCAGTCTCAGCTTTAGTATTACATGTATATACTGAACACGAATTTTCGCTACGGCATGTGACTTTTCTGGCCAATCAGATGGCTCCCATGTTGCCATAACGAAAATTCATGTTCAGACCAATTCGAATGCATTAAACCGAACAACACATCTGATTGGCCAGAAAAGTAACATGTCCGATTCAGTTTAGTTATTGAACGAAATTTGGTGTGGGTGTAGTCACAGCGCTAAAGGTTTAAAATAAATGGAAAATAAGTATAAATATATAAATATTAAATATATAAGGATTTACAACGAGAAAAATAAAATGGGTAACCACCCGGTGGAAAAGGTCTTCAAAGAGACCTAATGATGTGAATGAAATGTGACAGACAAAAGTGTCCGTTGAAAAATTTTTCGGCCGGCCTGACCATCAAATAAGAACAAACCCACTGCCAAGCTGCTCGTGTCAGAAAGATCTGCCCCTTGACGCGTTTCGTCACTTGACGTTTTCTAAAGGTTAGCAGATTGGCAGCCATGGAGGCTGTTTCTCTCTTTTGAATCCCTTTTGATTTATCATCGGGACTGGGAGAAAAATACATCAGCAACTTACGAGCAGAAGGAGCCGGGATCCAACCGGACTCGCTGCAGCGCGACGGGTAAAGAATCCTGCTGTCATCCGCTACACTGCCGGGGAATCCTGCACGGATCGGGAAGCTGAGGAACCAGACCTACACCTTTTGAGACGACCTTGCTGTCTATACACCATCTGGTGAGTTACCATCCCTTGGGGGGCTAAAGATCGGGCGAAGAAGACCTGTGGAATTTGCACTAGAACATATATGTATATATTCTTTAATTTTTTATTTTATATTTTTCATTTTCCTTTTACTTCAAACTTTTTTTATATATATTTTTCCTTTATTTTTTATTTTTATCTATATTTTTTTGTGCTTTTTTCGTTAGCTCACATCACGATTTTTTGGAAAGACGTGTGTCATTCAATATCAATACATTTTTGATTGATGCTTTTGTTCCACTGATTTTTTCATTTTTTCATTTCATTTGTTATTTGCACGATATGATGCACCTATGAGACATTTTTAGTGATTGGTCTTATATGTATTAGTCAATTTTACACGTTCAATTCTGTATTTTTTAACGTTGTGGTTTGCAAACCCTGTTACACTGTATTTATTCACCTTGGTACTCTATTGGGGAATATAGTTTATAGGAGTTTCATGGTTACACATCAGCACATGTTTAGTTTTCAACGGACACTTTTGTCTGTCACATTTCATTCACATCATTAGGTCTCTTTGAAGACCTTTTCCACCGGGTGGTTACCCATTTTATTTTTCTCATTGTAAATCCTTATATATTTAATATTTATATATTTATACTTATTTTCCATTTATTTTAAACCTTTAGCGCTGTGACTACACCCACACCTCACCTTTACCACTTCTCATAGCAGCTTTAGGCTTACTATTGATAGTCCACTTTCCATAAGCGCAGATCTTTGTTGCAATCATTGAACGAAATTTGCACAGGATCCGAATTTCGGAAATGGAAATTCGGATTTAGACACATTCAGATGCAGTGGGATTCGGAAATTCGGATGTGTACGAATGTCCGAATTTCTGAAAATTTGTCCAAATTTTGATTGGAACAAAACGAATTGCACATGTCTACTATCTATCTGACTCTAAATATCTGTCTATCCATTAACCTACCTATTTGCAATAAATAAGTTTTTGTACTTGAGCAGTAGATGAATGGACGGGCCCAAAAACTGATCTCCAACCTTTGTTGACTATCTCAACCACTTCCTTACTTGTGTTCCATGATGTCTCCATGTCAACGGGGTGCAAATATATATTTTTTGGCACATGTGTTCAGCAGTTCTACCTCCACACAAATCACAGTTGAGCAATAAGAGCTTTTGTCCTGGAGCTTCATATGTCAGCCATGATTAGAGATAGTACGAAATGCAATCCACCATTGACCCAGGGCAAATCTTCACATTGACCGCCATAATATTAAACTGGTACAATGAGTATCAAAAGACACTTATGAGATCATTACTGAGCAGAAAAGCAGCGTGAGCACTGGCCCCCAAACAGGATAGGTCACTTTAAGGGAACACATCACTTCCCTCATAAGGAAGTACTATATATCACTGTAAAGATAGCACCCATAATAAGGAAGTGTAGTTCTTTCTTACAAGGCGGGTGATAAAAGTGAGATCCCCATTGGTTCTTCAGGAAAATGTTATGTCATTTAGGATGATATCCTCTATGGGGGCGTCTTTGGTTGCCACTGTGCACTCATCAGAGTCAATAGATGATTGGTAAGTGGTCAGCCCTAACTTAAAGGAGAACTATGAGGTGAGTGCTTTTGACTCACCTCATAGTTCTAGCTGACCTGTGACAATGAGACGGTCACAGGTCGGCTCAGTAGATCGGGAGGTGAGTGAACACATACCGGCGTTCGCTCACCTCTCGATCCTGTCACAGCTCTCTGCCGTGACAGGCTAGGGGCTGGATTCCCCCCTCCCGCTCCGATCCGCCAGCGCTGACTGGCGGATTGGACGGGGGAGGGGGCGGGTACAGCTGGCTCTGCCTCTAGATAGGCAGAGCCAGCTGTCACTCACGCAGCAGGGCGGATCCCGGCATAATTGTCGGGATCCGCTTCAGCTGCGGCGTCTTAGTAGTATAATGCGAGCTGTAGCTTGCGGTATACTGTGGCGTCTCAGTATACCGCGAGCTGCAGCACGCGGTATACTGAGCTTAGGTTGACGGGAGGACGCTATGGGGAAAAGGCCTAACCCCATAGTTCTCCTTTAAAGTGAGCCAGCTGCATTGGCTGGGAGTTCTAACTTAGGTTTATTGATTTGCTCAACCCTAGCCATGATGAAGCAATAACGGTGTCCGCTAAAGACACACCACGGCTTCTTTGGAATCCCATTGATAAAACCCAAAACAATTCTATGTGCCTGGTTTAGGAGATCAGCCGATGTTTATATTAATACCCTTCCTGCTTCAATAAGACCTATGGAAACTAAGTGAAACTATCGCTAGCATCAACTCGCCAGACCACTTACCTTTTGCTATGGAGTTGCTTCTTTGCTATCTGGACCAGAGAGATGTCACTCCCTTGCTGTCCCCTTTGCTAGTGAGTAAGATTCCGGGCCATCGAGGGAACAATTACATCTAGGTAAGTGAAAGCTTCTCCTTGGTGATGTGTCGCCAACACACCTGGCCTTTAACAAGAGTCAAAATTGTTCATCAAACTCTAAATAAATTGTATTTCGAGGTCTGAAGAGCTCTGCCATTAGAAACTACAAGAAGGTTTTAGGTCAGATCAGAGGTAACCTATTAACATATCGACATCATAATTAGAGTTACAGTAATGTTTGTAAATGGTAAAATCAATTGGACTTTCAAACATGGCAAGTCTTTAATCAGTATTTCATTGGTTTGCTTAGCCATGGATACTTCTATATATTGATTATCAGTTATGTTACTTGTAGCTCGGAAAGGTCTGTTGCTACGTCGAAAGAAAACTACTTTTCACTTTTCCCATGGTTTTCAATCCTAACGGTTTTGTGCATCCACCCTTTGAAGGAATCTATTGATCCATATTTACCAAACACAAGGTCTACAAGGGGTCAGAGAGTTTTCAGATGGATCAGTAGCTCTCAGTGGCACGGCAGCGGATTGGCTCTGGTGTCTCTTCCTGCAAAGGTCCCCAGATCAGGATAACACAACCATGATGCAGAAAGGTTTATTTTTTATTAATCATCCCCCAAGACCTACACTGAGCGAATGCCGTTCGCATGGCATTCTCTCCCCTACATGGAGCCTAAGGAGCATAAGAATTTCCAATGCTCCTTGGCTCCCTCTAGTGGTGAGAATGTTGTGCTAGTGTTAGGGATAAGATTAAGGGTTAGGATGGTGTTGGGGTCTGGAGCTATGGAACTTAGTTTAGCTTTTAAGGTTAAAGCGACTCTGATGCTATATTGAAAATATAACATAAAAGTTATATTGAAATAAAACTATAGCAAGTGAGTTGACTTACCTTTGCTCTCATCGATTTTCTTCCTCCTATGACTGACGTCTCTTTCATATCTGGTGACCTGGGTTGTTTTGATTCCTTCGAAAAGGTCTGATTACCGCAAAGGCTAATGAGGCTAAATAAATAGAATAGCTATATAGTCTGCTGATAACAAAGCTTATTATCCTAATTCCTGTAAATAACATTGATTGATTACAGATTTATTAGATCAGGACTGTTACATATTAATTCTATTGGTTCAGGGCTGTTACATAATAACCAAACAAATACCGGCGCCGCCGGTTACCAGAGAATGGCCAATTTGAACGTTTAGTAGAAACACAGATGAGGCAGCTCCCACCGGTCAAAACGACCTTCGATCTGGGAAGTACAACGCAAAACAGAGCGCCTCCATCGTGTAAAAAGTCATTTATTTAAACGGCAACACAGCTGAAATTGTACTCACAAGAAGGATCGATCAATAAAAGCATGTAAGACGATGCAATGGAAATCTCTGGCAGCGGGAGTCTCACAGAATGAAACAGATCAAAAGTCCTCTGCCCCTATGAGTTTGAACGGTCTACGCGTTTAAGGGGCACGCCCCCTTCATTCAGCAGGTTCTGATGAAGGGGGAGTGCCCCTGAAACGCGTAGACCGTTCGAACTCATAGGGGCAGAGGACTTTTGATCTGTTTCATTCTGTGAGACTCCCGCTGCCAGAGATTTCCATTGCATCGTCTTACATGCTTTTATTGATCGATCCTTCTTGTGAGTACAATTTCAGCTGTGTTGCCGTTTAAATAAATGACTTTTTACACGATGGAGGCGCTCTGTTTTGCTCTGTTACATAATAAATGTATTGGTGCCAAACTGTTACATAATACATGTATTGGTTCGGGGCTATTACATAATAAACGTATTGGTGTAGAACTGTTATATAACTGTTATATAATACAGTGGTACCTCGGTTCACAAACTTAATTCGTTTCACGATTCTGGTCGCAAACCAAATTGGTCGCAACCCGATTCAAACTGTGATCAGACCGCGATCTCAACTAGAGGAATCGATAATACGAAATCACCTGCACTCCATACAGCGTACAGACCTTGGATGAAAGGTTGATGCTTGAAGTGACGGATGGCGCCGTGTCAGATACAGTCCATAATAGAAGTCACCAGCACTCGATGATGTGTGCAAGAAGTAATGCACTTTTTATTAAATCGTCACATGCGTCATACAGCCAACGTTTCGGGGCCACGCAGGGTCCCTTCTTCTGGGCGACATATCAACCTATGTCGCCCAGAAGAAGGGACCCTGCCCATATCATCGAGTGCTGGTGACTTCTATTATGGACTCGACTAGGTGAAGCCACAACCATGTGTCAGAGCAGGGAAGATGGCTGCGGTTGTGTTCGTCACCCGATGCGGAAGCCGAATTGTTCGCGAACAGAAGCGTTCGTGAACCGAGGTACCACTGTACATTTATTGGTTCAGGACTATAACATTTGATTTTCTGGTAGCGGAGAGGAGCAGGACATGGGGTGCAGCTGGCAGGACAGGGTGAAAGCTGGCATATCGGTTTAATTAAAAGATGGCCTGATGTAAAATAATTTGTTTTTTTATTTTCTAACAGGTAGATTTTATTAGTTTTATAATACAAAAAAAATCCAAAAACAAACATATAGAAATCACAGCAAAACACAAAGAAGTGTGGACCACAGGTAAAGGAATAAAAAAAACAAGAGTATGGGTCTCCCTGGGTACTATATCAGAAGGGTGCATTAAAAGGACAAAGGGGGGGGGGGGGAAACAGCAAATCAGCATCAACAGGTCAAGTAATCAATAGAGGCAGCAAAGGCATCAGTGGGCAATAAGTACTAGACATGTGCGATTCGTTTCAGGAAGATTCGTTATTCGGACAAATTTTCGCATGTATCCGAATTACAGAAATGACGAATGGAAACGAATCTGAATTTCCGATTCCGAATTTCGTTAGCGGAATTTTCGTTTGTGGACGAATTTTCGTTGCAGCAAAGTGACATTAGAGAAAAAAAAAAAACGTTTCCCCCCAATTCATACCAGACCCTTTAGGTCTGGTAGGAATTTTAGAAGGGACCACCCCCTAAAATTAAGGAAAACAAAAAAAGTGCGTGGGGTTCCCCCCAAAATCCATACCAGGCCCTTTAGGTCCGGTAGGAGTTTTAAGGGGGAACCCCAGCCCCCATAAAATTGAAGCAAAAAAAAACCTGGGGTCTCTCATAACATTCCTACCAGACCCTTGATCCAAGCACAGGGCAGGAAAGGGCTGCAACAAAACTTCGCCCGCAAACGAAAATTCGTACAGACTACCGCTAACGAATTTCGTCCCAATCCCGAAACGAATTGATTTTCGGACCCGAATCCCGAAAAACGAAATAACGCAAAATCTGAATCAAAACTAAACAAATTTTTTTGCCGGTACACATATCTAATAAGTACAATAGAGGCAGCAGTTTCACTAGGACCTCCAAACCCTGTAGAGGACCAGGACCACCTTAGCTGCTAGGAGACACAGACGAGTGGGGAGTTGCCCCATCTGGACTCTCTAGGGTGAGTCCCCTAGCCCTCACCCGGTCCATCCAGATCCGATCAAACCTACGAATGCAGTTGCGACTCATGTTGGTCCATTTATAGAGAGGTATCCAGAAGATCCAATATTCAGAAGGTTATTATCTCCACGTACTGTATATTCAAGTAGCATAACCTGTCTTTATATTACCCCTATGTCACACCCTGCACACTTGGATAATAAAATGAGCCTAAAAGTTGAGTTGTCAGCAATGGCAAACCATCAGACTTCACCTTTCATTATATAGAAAAGTTGGAGAAGGATTCTCATTGGTTACCATAGGCTACAACAGGGCTCAAAATTTCAAGTCCTGAGCTACTAGCCAGGCCTTAACTACAATATGGTCTTACACTCGTTTGACTGTCTTAGGTTTTTTTGAATCAGTCCTGGTATGTTTCTTTTGTCTTTTAGGAGTATTTTCCATCTGAGTCCACTTTATTATTGTTCCATTCTCAGTAAAGGAGTTATAATGCCACAGGTCCAGTGTCTGTTTTTGCCCTGGCTACCCAGTGGAGATCCCGCATAGCCTGTAGAGATATATGAAACACAGAGCTCTCATATAACAGGTTTATCCTTTGCCCTCATAACCAGCCACGTAAAGTGGAATCTTATCTTTAAAGGATAATAAAACCTTACTTTTTTTGCCTATATCTCCTGCTAGCATGCAGAAGATATATGCAAAAACATTTTTAAAAAAGGTCACCAAAAAGGTTATCACTTACCTGTGTCTCTGCCGCTCGCTCCCGTCCGAAGAGCGTCTGCGAAGGATCATGGGGCGGGCGCAGGTGCAGTAGAAATCTTCGGCCGGGAGAAGAGGAGAGACACAGGGTAAGTCAATGCACGCAGCCGGCACGCGCGCAGACTCGTGGGACAGGAAGACACAGCAGTCTGTGCTGGATCAGAGAACGGTACCAGCGCTGGAGGGACTCCTGAAAACCCCTGGAAGGAGGAAGATGATCGGATCAAGAGGCATCATCAGTCTTCAAGGATTCTCTTTTACATTGGTTTGCATCTTGTAGACTACAAAATGGTCAGTCTGATGGTACTTGAACTCCAAAAAAATGTTGCTATGTTATAGGGAACATTTAAAAATGTTAATTCTGGCCATGCAGCACCCCGAAATATTACCTTTTGTCCTGAATTCCAGTGTACTTCGTGATATGTGAGGGTGCCAAGACACTCCTGTGTCTACAGCCCCATAGCTGTATATCTGCAGTGTGGGATCTTAGGCACTGCTGCCTCTGACTGCTAGTCTAAGGAGATTGGGAATAAGATTGGGTGATGGCACTACTACTGTATCAGGGGAATCCCCATTATGAGGCAGCATGAGACAGTAGCCTCAGGCGGCATTTCATTGGGTGCGGGGATGGGGGTGCGATTTAGCACGCCCACAAAGAGCACTCCCAACCCCCCGCTGACAGCTCGGCCACCCAACTGACAGCTTGGCCCCTTTCTTCTTGCCACCTCAGGTGGTAAAAAAGGTAGGCACGGCCCTGACTACTATAATGTTCACTGCTCTCCTTGCTGGAGGCTCTGACATGAGGACGCAAAGCCCTGCCACTACCAAGTTGGTCGCCTTCATACAAAGACAGTACAGAAGAAAGCATGGTAATGGGGGAAGGTCAGCTGCAGGGAGACCACAGGCAATACTGGTGATGCATCCTTTGCCCTCTGCTTGACATTTTTTTGGGCCACAGTGTTCAGAGTTCAGTTTAGAGATGAAACATGAAATACATTAATCAATAGATACGATTGGTTTATTCTGGTTACAATACAGTTATACAGAATAATGACACAGTACTCCCTTTATAAAACAGGGAGACAGCGGAGGCCCTCTGGTGTGCCAGGAAGGAGGCCTGTGGTGGCAGGTTGGCATTGTCAGCTGGGGAGAAGGTTGTGGCCGACCCAACCGTCCCGGAGTTTACACAAACCTCACTGTATTACTGGACTGGGTCTACCACCGCCTACAGGTGAGTCCGGGAGGGGCATCCTGCTACATACAAATCCACTTTATAATGCTCAGGGTCAGCTTTTTATTGGCAGTAACATATTTCCTCATCGTTTATAAAGTATTTCATTTTTCTCCCTTTCAATGTGGGCCTTTTTAATCCTCCTACATATTTGGCTCCTTGACTTGAGTAATAGTCACATGGAGATCCTATCCATACAGAACAAAAAGGGCTTATGTATTCAACATTACCAAACTGGAACTGCAAGTCACGCATTGTGTACTCAGCCTCAGGAAAGGAAACTGTATGGATATATTATTATAGGAGGAACTTTATTACCCAACATGAAATTTTAAGGCCCCATTGGGGCCGATTGGACGAGTCTCACGAATGGCTCTATGAGACTTATGCAAATAGCGGCCGTTTGCATGTAATCAGACATGCTGCAGCTACCTGTGGATGATCGCCCCTGGACAAGGTGAAAATAGTATTTAATAGAAACAAAGGTACTTGTTAAATTAAATGTCATCCCAAATATCATCCCATTGGGGTTTAGAGCAACTTTAAGGGGTGAAATGTCAAAACCTTTGCTCTTGATTGATCACATCTATTGATATGACCCTATATATGTTTAAAAGGGTGCTATAAAAATAATTTTGTGTTGCCTATAGCAACAACCAATTAGCATCCCGTTATCCATCTTACAGCCCGCACTTTGAAAATGAATCAAAGATTCTGGATGGTTGCTATGAGCAACAAAAAATAATTATTAATCTTATCTTTCCTTCTTTGCAGACCGACAATGAGATTCCATGACAAGACGAGAGCTCTTCTGAAAGAATAAATATATTTATGCTTTTAATTCTGTCTGCTTGTCCTTTTTTTTTTGCATCGCTTACAGATGGAACCTATTACACAGCCCTTTATAGAATATACAGAAGTTCCTGTCCCCAAAAGCTTACCATCTAATGTTCCTATGTACAGGTGCGGTAAAATATCACTTTAGGGAGTTGGGAGCCTTTAATTACATAGTTTCATAGTTACATAGCAGAGCTGTAGCTACCATGGGGCGAGCGAGGCACTTCAGGCGCAGATGAGAAGGGGCGCGGCCAGGGCCTGCCTGTCTGCGCCCCTTGCCCCTGTTGTCATGGTGAGCACAGGACGCCATTGGCAACAGGGGCGCCAGGCAGCCAACACAGCCGCGGCTCTGCAGGGAGTAGTGGAGCGGCACAGGCTCCAGCTTCTCCTCGGATCCCCGCTGCTCTCCCCGCCTGTATGGGCAGAGTGTGTGTCCTCAATCTCTTTTTCTGTTTCAAAAGGGAAATGTCAGGGGTCTGTTTAGACCTCTGATATTTCCCTGAAGCCCCCCAACAGTAAAAAAATTAATTAATTAAAAAGAAACAAAAATACACACTCATGCACACATATTACTGTGCACAGACTAAAAAATTTTGTCGGACGAAATGAACGGAAACGAAAAAGTTTCTCATTAGTTTCGTCAAACAAGACACATTTTTATGCTATTTTGGATTTGGCCACCGGCGCATTCACGCCGCCATCGTGGAGGCAGGGCACATGACGTCACATACCGCACACGCCTGTTGGGGAGCACAATTCTGTTCTTGCCTCAGGTGCAAAAGAAGCTAGCTATGACTCTGTTACATAGTATTTGAGGTTGAATAAAGACACAGGTCCATCAAGTTCAACCTTTGTGAGCATATGTGTGTGTGAGTCTCTGTGTGTTCCAGACATTAAGAGTACCTGTACTACTCTATGTTGTGGTCTCTAATGACGTTTCCTAAATGATTTTTGAATGATTCCATATTTTCTGCTGTTGCTTGCGAAAGGTAATTCCACACTTTTACCGCCCTAACAGAAAAGATTCCTATTCCCTTTGTGGTTAAATCTTTTTTCCAGAATTTAGGTGGTGGCCTCTTGTCATCTCTAGTGAGTCTACAGTAAAAAGTTTATTACTGATATTTCCATCGCCATTATACATTTTGGACATCAAAATCATGGCCCCTCTTAATCACCTTATTTCTAAAGAAAACAAGTTTACATTTTACAACCTTTCCTCTTAGCTTTCGTCCTCTGGCCCCTTTTGTTAGTTTCGTTGGCCCTTTACCGGAATCTCTCCAGTTCCAGGACCGCCTTTCTGTGGATTGGAGACCAAACGTGAACCACATACACAAGATAAAACTGGACCATTGTTTTTTAAAGTGGCAAAATTATCCCCCCAGGCCATACCCCTAGACCACGCCACCTCAAGCTGACACTCGGCGCCGGGCAACATATTTTGAATGGCTGCTCGGCGTGTGAACTGACAGTGCTGCGCTAGGGGGAGGCTGAGGAACCTCTCACCTAGCACAATGGAAGCCACGTGGCAACCAACTGAACATGGGGTTTCAACCCACTTTTTTGGGGTCACGACCCACCAGTTAAGACCCACGGATCTAGAGTACATTCCCTTTTTTTTGCATGACAGTACTCTGCTATCATTGCTTGCTGCAGATTGACTTTTTATGCTATTGTTTAGTCTGCAGCCAATCTTTTTCCACTTCTGACTTCCCCAGTGGAGTTCCCATTATCCTGCAGTCTGCATGTCTGTCAACATTAAACCTCATCTGCGACTTAGTTGCCCACTCCCGTATGTTATCCAGGTTGTATGTCTAAGCTTGTGTCTATTACCCTGCCAATTTTAGTATCATCTGCAAACACAGAAATATGGCTATTAACACCTCCCCCAATATCATTAATAAACAGGTTAAACAGTATGGGGCCTCGCCCAGAACCCTGGGGCATGCCACTATTGACCTTAGACCAATTAAAAACAGATCCATTTACCGATCCTCTCTGGACATGTTCCTGTAGCCATGTGCACACCATTTTATCTATGCCTATAGATCTCAGCTTTGTATTAAGTGTTTATGTGGTGCCGTGTCAAATGCTTTTGTAAAATCCAGGTACACTATTTCCATTGACTTTCCTCCATCTAGGTTGCTACTCACCTCCTCATAGAATGTTAGTAGATTGGTCTGACAAGAACGGTCCTTCATATATCCATGCTGATTATTATACCATTGCCATGAACAAAATCTGGTAAATAATCCTTTAGCATTTCCTCAAACAATTTGCATACTACTGATGTTAAACTGACTGGGCTGTAGTTACCTGATTAGCATCTTGAACCTTTTTTTGAATATAGATACTACCATTGCTTTACGCCAAATCAGGTGGTACCCCTCCAGTCATTATGGAGTGCCTGAAAATTATGAATGAGGTAGAATATTTTACATACAGACCTTTTTATCTCTAATGACAAGGCTCTGACAGGTAAAAGGGATCTCTGTTCCCTCATACATAACAATAAACATGTTCATATTGGGTGGAGTTGGTTTATAAATGGGTTGTAAACAAGTATGGGAGGTTATATATACATGACCGTCTGTGAATGTTTACTTTTTGTGTGCTAAATGTGTGAATTTGCGAAAACTGGACCGGTGGCAACCCTATTCAGGGAACCCGTGCCAATAATTGCTATATCTACAGCTGACAGTGCATTAGCATGGTGGTCTTTGAATGTCCCTTATATTAGTGGTGATTGCTCCTCCTCCTCCGGCTCCCTGACACCGTGCTGCCCGCCTGCAGACCGCTGGTGAGACGCCATAGCCCTGAGAGCCACACAGCCCACCTGAGAGCCGCACAGCCCATCTGAGAGCCTGCACAGGCCACCAGACCACCTGGAGACATTAGTGCGCCAACCCAGAACAACACAGAGTATGTAGCTTCATATTATTTGGTATTGCCGTATAATGTATTGCTGGGATTTGTAGTCCTCTATAGCCGGTTTCCTTACTCCCTCTCCTGGCTGCCTCTCCTCACTCTCTCCTCTATATGCACAAAAAAAGAATTGCCGCGCACGGTGCTTTAGTGCTCGGGTTTTACTTGAAGAAAAAGTGGCCACCCTATCCCTGAAACCTGAAAGTTATTTCTTATTTCCCTCCGAGTTCCTCCATGCCAAAAGAGTGGAGAAAGGCTGAGATAGAGTATCTATGCCTTACCGACTTTAGAAAAAAGTGACTCAAGTTCCACTTTAAGAAGGAAATGAAGATAAGGATTCACTCCAGCACCGTTGCAGACTGTCCCTCCCATTCCCCGAGCGATGGGACTCAGTCAATGACTTCGCTGGTCACGTCTACAAAGGAGAACATGCTGAATCATGCTACATACACAGAAAGGAAGACACAGTCGAGGCTTTCATTGCACAGCTCTGCCTGCCGCATGGAATGTCCAAGGAAGAAAAGTATCTTCAGCTCTGCGCCCTAAATAGTATTGCGTGCTGTGAAGCAACGCGCACGGGTTTCACTATGAAAGGAACAATGCGTTTTGGAAAGCCTGGTAGATGATTTCAGAAAGTGCCTAAAGTAAATGCAAACCCATAACACACGTTATCTTGGCACGGTCCACTGTTGTCACCATCAGGAAACCTGCCCTGAGAAACTGGAGTGCATGTAGACAGGACGTAGCTGCATGAAGGCTGCAGGAGATCAGCAATGAGATGCATCAAAGGATAAAGTACAGCTGAAAACCGGGTGATCCTGACAGTAACGCACTTCCTGTCAAACACTAACTTACTCTATCTATAGAGGAGCAGTCTCAACCTAGGCTGATCTCCTGACTTGCACTACAAATACCTCCCCCTTTAGACAGGGAGGCATGCTGTAGTTTACTAATAATTGGGAAAGCTGATAACATTGTTTGAGATTTCAGTCCAGTGCACACGAAGTTACAAGGACACTAAGTTTCTGGCAGGATCAGCAGGTATGTTTTTCATACTGGCAGACAATACCTTGAATTCACTAAGGTCTCGTTCACACCTAGGCGTATTGCATATGCGCGTCTGTGGCGCGTTTTTTTAACCGCGATTCGCGCTAAAAAAGTCGCGCGACAAACGCGCGTTTCCGAAGGCTACTTGGCTGTATCCCAATGGAAACGCGCAACAAAACGGCCCAAAGTAGTACCTGTACCTTTTCAGGCGTGGGCCGTTTTGTAGCGCGTTAGGGACGGGCGGAAATACGCCAAGGTGGGAACGAGACCATTGACTACAATGGGATTTATATTTTTGAGCGTTTTGTAGAGCGTTCGTCGAGCGTAGAACGCGCTACAAAACGTTCAGGTGTGAATGAGGGCAAAGAGTCGCAGACAGTCTTTAGAACTGTGACGGGTCTCTGCGCGACAAAATGTCAGTGCCTGTGACAAATCCATTAACCTGTTGGAAACAGGTGCGTAAATTTGTCACATGGAGGCATGGTGGCGGTGGTCGGGGGGGACGGCACAGTGTCCATACCACAGGCACTCCATCCTCCGTGCATGTTCAGCCCGTTGGCTGCACAGCATTATTGGTTGTTAGGATGCTGTCAGCCCACAGCGTCATAGGTTGCTGTGGCGCTGTCGGCTGTACAACATCCTTTGTTGCTATGATGCTGTTGACTGCACAGCATCATTGGTTGTTATGGTGCTGTGTATCCAACAGCAGCCTAGCAACCGAGGATGCTATACAGCCAACAGTAACAAAAATCAGGTCTCCTGCCCTTCCAAACAGTGCTGCACTGTGAAACAGAGCTCTGTAAATATCAGGACTGGATAGACAGAACTAGAAACCCTTTGGAAGACAAAACAGCTCCCATAAATGTACTGTATCTGTGTGTATGTATGTATATATATATATATACAGTATATCTTAAAAAGACTATAGAGTATGTTCCTTTAAGTGTTATGAAAGGATTAATCTTGAGAGCGTTTTTCATACTTGTTTT